TTATACTCCGTACAAAAATCCTAAACTAAAACAAATTAAAACGACGTTAATCGTCTACTAAGAAATACACGCGCCCGATCGGGCGAGGCACCGCCCGATCGGGCACGCCTTTTTTTGTCTCTAACACTAATCTCGCGCCCGGCCGGGCGCGTCACCGGGCGCCAGACTAAGCTTCTCCCGCCCGGCCGGGCGCGCCTCGGGCGCCAGCCTCTTTGGCCGGGCGGCTCATTTGGGCCAATATTTGGACTTCGATTGGGCTCCAATTCTTCGGGCCAATCTGGGTTTCCTCTTTCGGTCTAAAATATTCGGTCCAAATGCCCCGGTATCACCTATACCGAGCCCTTAATCACCGATTCGATGACTCTAACCGGCCCTGGGATATTGAATCTGGTCGTGCTTCTCCAATGCTCGTGATTACTCCAAAATATCTCGGGAAAATACTCCAAAAGTGTAAATCCCTGCAAAAGTCAACCAAATCTAAGAAGACACTAGAAAACACCAATTAGTAATAAAAGTGGCTCTAAAGATCCAAAAACACTACTAATTATGACCAAGGGACGGGGGTAAAATACTATATAAAATAGACACATCAAATAGCCCCAATCAAGAGAATTGTTATACAAATATAAACTTTTTTTTTTTGTAATTTCACTAGGTGGTGATCTTCGGGATTACTAGAAACATTGATAGTAATACTAGTTACTTAAAATTTTCACATATAATTTGTACGTGGTGAGCTTTTGGTCACCTAATATTTGTCAACATATAAATTATTCTAGTGAACTTCCGGTCACCAATTATTCAGATTGACCAATATATTATCTCTTGAACTTTTCTTTTTACACAAACTATTAAAAATCACAATCTAAATATAGCTCAATCTCAATGTTATGTCTTGCCATTCAATTTATTTCATATATTTAACATGAGAGAGCGTCAGCACATTATTTCTTTCATATCAAATGAAACTTTAGGTTTTCATAGCAGGAATTTATTAAACCCCGGATGGCCTAATTATTAATTATCACATCCAATCACTTTTGCTTTAGTATTTAAATTATGATCAGTTTTATAATATTGGTGATAACCTTATTAGAGATACTTTATGCATGGCCATGAATATGATGTGATATAAGTACACAAGTGTGTTTCTTTCTACAATTGGCAAGACAATTAACTAATACTCATACTCCACTGGAGCATTGATTGTAATCTTGATACATGTTAACCTTGTTGGACAACATTTTATACTCTTCTAGAGTACTTTATATAAGCATATCACATTTTAATGTATTAGAAATGATCTCTTCAGGATATACATAAAATGTGTCACTTAGCTTTCTCAAATTTGTCATTGTCAATTAGTGCTTCTTTCCTGTTCCAAGGATTCTTATCGTTGTAACCTTTTGCATTACCACACTTCAGGTGTGCTAGTTCAATAGCAATTGATCTTGTCCACCTAGGACATCAACTTAATCTGTACATTTATAGCTATTATATAGGTAATGACATTTATTCATATCCATTTTCAGGATGGTATCATGCTAAATATTTGATTATCATGTGGCCACCTCTATTAAATAAATTATTGATGTTTAGGCTAGTGTATGTACCAAACTGACCATTAACATATTTAATTATTCATGTGCAAGAATTACATAAAAACAGTGGAATAAACACTATTTCCCCCTAATCCTTGCATACGGGGGTATAAAACTAGTCCAACAATCTTTAAATATATCTTCTTCTCAAGCCATAAATTCTTTTAGCAATGCATGTATCAAACAAAGCAAAGTTATTATTTTTCTCTAGCCCTATTATATTAATCATATTAATCTCTTATAAGTGTGGGCATAATAAATATACTTTTAAATAAGTTGCTCACAAGTAATGTCGTGGATTAATTTCTTGAACTCATAACACTATTTCTTGCTCAAATAGCTAATATATGTAATCGTTTTGGTAATTCTCATGAATTTTCGATGAATTATATCAAAATAACATCATGCAAATATGCTTATATTATTATTATTGTTTCAATCTTGAGATTGCTCATTCACTTTTGGGAATGAGCTAATAGTCTAGTTGGGATCAAGGATCTCCACTTTTAACCCAAAGTTGGAATCAAGGATATCCACTCAAAGACCATATAATAATATATCGATTGTTCAAAGTATTTATTTATGTATTTATTTTCACTTTACATACATTGGTTTTGCTTACGGAGGATAATATAGCCAACAACATACCTTAGAAACTATTATTAGACATTTGTAAGTCATCATGTACATATATGTTTTCATATTATACTTAAGGAAATAAAATTACTAACAATACACTCCTTGTCTTATTATCCACTTCAAAGTAAATCATAAGTATCTCATATAATAGCGGTGTCATGGTTATTAACCATTATAATTAATTATCAATCAAATCTCTGAACATCTAGTTAGTAAAGAAAGGTTTTTTCTCAAATTATCTTTACACAAATACTACAGTACTATAATTCGAGGTCAACAACAAATATTTATGTGGTCAATTAAATTATGACATGCATCATGTAAAGTATACCAATATAAGTAATTTTGTGATCATCAAGGAGTTACAAGTAAGATTAGTCCATAAACTTAAAACACGTACTCATTATAATAGTTGAGCGTGACCTTATATAATAGTCAAGATACACTGATGAATTAAATTATATGCTATTTATTATAATTCCTCATAGATACTAAACAATCATATCCTAGTATTACAGTCATTCATAACAGACGTTGACTAATTTATAATAAAAAAAAAATTTGATGTCATATATAAGAAACATCATATAATAACTTAATCATGCTTATAAAACCATCTATTCCGCAAACAATATACTTGCTCGGTTTTATTTAAGAGTAACAAATAAATATTGTTGCGTTAGATTATTAAGAGTAACATTTTTGTAAGTGTTGCAATCTTAAGTGTTGTCTATTCTTAATTTTTTTTGTAGTGATTCTAATTAAATTCAAAATTAAAATATATATTTTTTTAAAAAAATGCTAGCATTAGTGTAAAGTGGTTAATATAGGAGGAAAGAAGAAAAAAATGAAAGAGCCAACCACCGATTATGTCCTAATTTTGTCGATTTAGTAAAAAATAAATTAAGTGTTTATGAAAATGTGTAATTGATTCAGCTTTTCCAAACATTAGCTTATCCATTATCTTGGAAGGAAAAAAGAAAAAAAATAAAATAAAAAGAGGAAAATATCACTTTTAGTTTAGGCGGGAAATTTTTTAATAAAAAGTTTACACATAAGCAGTAGTGATGTCATTTGATCGAGTCTTAAAAAGTCTTAAAATAATTACTTCCCCCGTTACACATTATGTGCAAGAAACCTTGTTGCACGTTTCCCAAGAAAAATTGTTAATGATTGATTAACAAAGTGAAGGATGTGTGATTAAGGGTAGGAGAGAGAAAGGAGGATAATTAATTAATGGCAACCACTACCAATTGCCATGGCCTCCTTGACACCACCTACTAGCAGCAACATCCACCACCATCCACATTCGACCACTTGTCGCTACCCCGTAACTACCACCACCCTTTCCCGTAATCACCACCACCATTATCCAAAAACCCCATCAGCCAAATCGTTGAACCCCACATGCATCCCCACAAGCCAAATCGCAGAACCCCACCACCCAATGAGCGATATCCCAAAACCCCACCGCCAACATAACACCAAAACCGCAACGACCACCACCTGAAACCCCACCACCAAAAAAATCACCCAAATTCGACCAGACCCACAACCACCCAAAACCGACCATACCCACAACCACCCAACCCAAAACCTGCAACCTCGGTAACCCACAACCATCGACCTCCCTCCCCTCTCCCCGAAATCACCACCAACCACCCTAAAAATATGAAAAAAAAACTTTAATTTGAAAAGATTACCTCCTCATCGCTATTTTGGGGTTTATTTGGTCAAATTTGACCATAAAAAACTCAACTTTTAGTTTTAATGGAAGAGGAAATGGCGACAACAACTTTAATGAAGAAGGAAGTGGCGACGACGACTATAATGGAGGAGGAAAAGGTGGCGACCTGATCTTATGGTGGTGGTGGTGTGGTTGTTGTGAGAGAAGAGAGAGAAGATTGGTGGTGAGGGTGGCTTGTAAGAGAGGAGAGAGAAAATAGGGTGGTGGTTGTTAGAGAAAAGAAAGTGGAGGTGAGGGTGGCTTAAGAGAGAGGAGAGAGAAAATATGGTGGTGGATTTGGTTGCGAGGCTGGAGAGAGAATATGTGTTAGTGTTATTATTGAGGGTTAATTAAGTTGGATTAATAACTTAATAATGTGTAGTTAATATGTTAATTGGATTGAAGTAAGGGTCTTTTAGTAAATTTACTCAAAATATTTTACTATATAAGGAAACTTTTTTTTTGTTGCACATAACATGTAACATCCCAAGATGGAAAATGTTACATATAGTACGTAACGAAGGAAGTATAAATTTAAAAAATAATATAATAATTGATGTGACAATGTGTAAAGTCTTTAAACAAAACTGCACTAATCTTGTTCTAGTTATTTATGATCTAATAAGTTTACTTTAGTTGAGATAATATTTTTATAATAGTTTGCCCAAATTCAATTATTCAAATTTAAACTTATATAATTTTCAGGAATTTTTGTAAATTACTTCCCAAAAATGTACCATGTAATGAAATAACCACCTTTTTTTTTTGAAATTAAAAATAATCATCCATATTTTACAAAACATGTAGGTTTTACCACCAGACATATATTTCGAGTATGGGCCTCATATATGGCTATTTTTTTAAAATTTTTTTTTTTTTATTAAAGTTGTTTCTTAATTGATTTCCTCTCTTGTTTCACAAACTACTGCCAAACTTAAAATTCTTAATTTTTTTTTCACAAATTCTACCAATTTTTACACCAAATTGTGCAAACTGACAAGCGAATCCTTTGAAAAATGCACTTAAATTTTTTCATAGCAAGGTAATTGAAGAACACACATAATTTTTAATTTTTTTTTTGGTTATTTTGCAATGTTTAATGAAGTCACATTCAAGTTAATTATACGATATTTGTTGTTTAGAATGTATTTTATTAGGAATTTAATGGTGTATTCGTTCTTTGATTCATTCAATTTGACTTGAATTGAAAATTAGGATTTTTCATAATGAAATTGTGGGGCACATGCTCGGAAAACTGGTCAGAGTATAGGTCGGGTGGTTAAACCTACAATTTTATAAAATAATTAAAAAAAAAAAAACCCTACAGTACCACTCTTTGTAAAAACAAAACAATTCAAATACTCGCTTCGATTCTTCACTTTTTAAATTACAACAATCTCTCTCCTCTTAAGCTATACGAGTACAGAGAAGCACTTTACAAGTGTACGTGTACACTCAAGTTCAGATTTCTGAATGATAGAATATAATCTAATTGGTTAGATAAAAAAAAAAAAAATGGTGTTATGGATTTTTGGATACGGGTCATTGATATGGAAAGCAGGGTTCAACTACGATGAACGCCTTTCTGGGTTTATTAAGGGCTATCGCCGTGTTTTCTATCAAGGCATCTTTCATTTTTATTTTTTCTTTGGAAATTATTTCACATTTTTCTGGCTTTTTTTATAATATAATTCTGATAATTTTTTTGATATAATTTTTGATATTTTTTTTGATGAATTGATTAATTTAGGAAGTACTGATCACAGAGGAACACCTGATTACCCAGGAAGAACTGTCACATTAGAGCCAGCTTCTCATGAAATTTGTGTAAGTTCCCACTTAAAATAACAAATTTAATTTTTTTTTTATTTTTTTATTTTTATTTTAAATTAGTTTGCTTTGATGAAGTAATTAGTATTGATGATTCTTGCTACAGAGAATGAGCAATCATATTCTTGATTTTAGATTAAAGCTTCTTGTTAATTACTGATTAAAATGAGTAATTTACTTACTAATTGTTGACTTTAGTTTTTATGGTTGTGGAAAAGAATATTGAAAATACCATCAGTGGGTGCTATTATTTTGACTCTCATTGCGTGAAATTTTGTTACATCCACGAGATATAATTCCGTTTGGGATTAAGGATCTGGTATTATTGATATTGTTGTCGAACCTAAATATTTTTTTTTGGTGTTCCACCCGGTTCACCCTTTAGGCTAATCTGGATTCAGGGAACACTTCTGGGTGGTTAGGTTCTAATTTCATCCCTATTGTTGTTGCGGGGGATCGAAACGGGTCCTCCCTACCAATTGTATTCTCAATCACTACTACACCAACAGTCAATTAGTTGTCGAGCCTAGATATGATTTCGTTTTTGTTTGGGATTAAGGATTTGGTATTATTGTTATTGCTGTTGAGCTGAGCTATAATTCCATTTGAGATTAAGGATTTGGTATTGTTGTAACTATTGTCGTCATAAACTGATGAATACGATCAAATCATGTTAATGAACTTACTTGGAGCAGTGATTTTTACTGAATTGCTAAACATCGCCCGCGAATCTCCACATAAAGCCCACAAAATTAGAGTGAATTGTCACTTTTGCCCTCAAAGTAAAAAACACAATTTCTTCTCTCAATTCTCTACTTCCACTTTCTCTCTCTAAAAAACTTTCCGAGCGATGTCGAGGCGGCCCGGCAAGGAAGTGGCGGCACAGGCGGCGGGTGGACAGCGGTTTTCCGGCGAGAAGGTATTTTTTATTAATTTTGTGTTTAAAAATTAAAAAAAAAAGGTCGGAGGCGGTGGCGGCGCCTAGGCCAGACGCCACCACCACGGCGGCGGCGTCTAGCCCAGACGCCACTACCACGGCGGCGGCGCCTAGGCCAGACGCCGTGACGGTGGCGGTGGCGTCTGGCCCAGGCGCCAGAACCACGGCACCGGCGTCTGGCCTAGGCGCCGCCGCCTTTTTATTTTTTTTTTTAATTTTTTTTTGGTTTTAAATTTGAAATTTAATTTTCGAAAATAATTATTTTTTTTTTGATTTTTTTTTAAATTTGTTTTTCTTTTTTTTAATTTTAAATTTTATGTTTCTGATTTTTTTTTTATTTTGTTTTAAATTTTGTTGGTTTTTTTTAAAAAAATTTTATGTTCCTCTTTTTTTTTTTTTATTTTTAATTTTATGTTCTTGTTTATTGTTCTTGTTTTTTTTTTTTTTGAATTAGTTTTTTTACTTAAAAAAAATTTTATGTTCCCTTTTTTTTGTTATAAATTTTTTTTAAAATTTTGATGTTCTTCTTTTTTTAAGTTTTTATAATTTTATATTTTTCACTTTGTTTTTTCCAATTTGTTTTTTTTGGGTAATTTTTTTTTTTGCTTTGTTTTTTCCAATTTTTTATTTATTTATTTATTAGGTTATTAATTTTTTTATTTTTAGGTTGTTAATATTTTGTAATGTTTTTAATTTATTTTCCATCATATGTATATTGTTTTATTTATTTATTTTAATTACTTTTTTTATGTTTATATTACATGTTTATATTGCATATTACATGTTTTGTTATTTTGTGTTAGGCATCGTATTTTCGTTCTGGGGCTGGGAAGAGTATGGACATTATGAGAAGTACGATGAACTCAATGGAGAGCTCGGGGCCCAGACACGTTAGATCCCGTGGTATTTCGGCCTCGGCTCGTAGAGAACGGGTGCACTATTCTGAGGATGATGAAGATGATGATGGTGATGAGGAGGAGGAGGAGGAGGATGCAGATGAGGATGTGGACGATCAGAGTGGACCATATGATGATTACGGTCCATTCAGTCAGAGGCTTGATGATGTGTATGAGACGCGTAGGGTAGACGTGCGTAAGGGTAGAGATGGTAGATTTGTTAGTAGATCTGGCACATCATCTGCGTCCACTGTGTCTGCGGTTAGCAGAAAACGGTCGAGGGCCGTTAATGATTCTTGGGTGGTGAGGGGCGAGGTGGCTGGGGGACCTATAGACGGGAGTGTGATTCCTAGCTTTCTAGGACACATCGCTACCCGTATTTGGGAGGACCAAGAGCGGGCTTTGGATAGCGGCATTTTGAAATGCCAAACCCGGGAGAGGACTTGTAACTTCTTGTGTAGTTGGGCTGAGGCTTGGCCGGAGGAGAGCGAGATGGTCGGCCGATTGAGGGCCACTAGAGTGAGCCACCTTCCTGCCACCATGCATGAGAGGATTGACTCGACGCTGATCACGGCTTTCGTTGAGCGATGGCAGCCGGACACGAACTCTTTCCACCTTCCGTTCGGTGAGATGACGATCATGTTGCATGACGTCGAGGCCATCCTTGGGATTCCCGTAGAGGGAAACCGAGCATCTGTTGTCACAGATGCGGATCAGGCAGATTTATTGGCGGAGCTGTTGGCGGTGGATAGGGCTGCGCTGTACACAGCGGCACTTGGTGTGTGGGATCACGGCGGTGTTAAGATCGCAGCAGTTTTGCAGCGATGTTTGCACCCCACTTCACGTAGGACGCAGGACACACAGCTGGCTGCATATGTTTTTCTTCTTCTCGGGTGTACCTTGTTTCCGGATAAGAGCGGAAACAAGCTCAGGCCACGCGACATAGTTGACGCGTGTGAGCCCGACAGAGTAGGCCAGTTTTCTTGGGGGTCGGCTACATTAGCGTACATGTATCGCCAGTTAGGATTCTCGAGCCGGGCTGATGCGGCAGGTATCACTGGATGTATGACGTTGTTACAGACGTGGATATACGAGTATTTCCCGGCGTTTCGACCACACCGCGACCCGGTTCCTATTGGGGATGGCCAGCCACGTGCCTGTGCGTGGAGTCCGCGTGTCGAGAAGAAGTCCATTGACCGCCTGCGATCGATACGGTTATTGCTTGACAGGATGTCCCCATTAGAGGTAAAGTGTTTAAATTATTTCTACTTTTATAGTTTGATGTGTTTATTGTATGAATCTTACTAATTTTAAAAAATGTGCAGGTGAACTGGATGCCTTTCGGCCAGAACCCTAGTAATAGGGTACCCAGGACCCTCTACACGGGACTGATTCAGTATCGTGAGATCGTAGAGGCGTACATGCCGCAGCGCTGTCTTCGCCAGCTTGGATATGTCCAAGTTGTTCCTCCTCCACCAGCATGGCCCAGTAAGGCCGTCCGATCTGCGTCGTTGAAGGAGTACGTCGTCCAATGGCCGGCAAGCATGATTGGCACGTGGGAGCAGTTTCCGATGGTTGCCCGCATATGGATTGAGCAGTTGCAGCGGCCGCCAACTGGGGTGGCTGCCATGTGTGACCAGCACTACATGGAGTGGTACAACCGGCACTCGCACCCGAGGTTGATCAGAGACGTCCACCACGGCGACGACGCCGATGATGATGATGTGCCACCGCCCACTGCCGTGGATGCGGTACGTCTCATAAAACATTTGTAGTTGTGTTTTTTTTTCATATAATACGTCTCATAATACGTCGTTATTGAATTTTATGTGTTTTGTTATGTGTAGTGGATGGGAAAGATGACGCAGTTGGGACACAGACTTTTTGAGGAGAGGGACAACATGACGACTGCAACAGGCAGAGCTGTTATTGATGAACTGGAACGGGCCCTTGAGCAGTGGCAGTGGGCGTCACAGAGAGATTATTGATATGTCGGCAGTGCATTTATAAAACATTTTCCTAGTTGTTTGTAAAAGTTAACATTATCTGTTCTTATAATTATTATTTTAAGTTCTTAGAATTTGACATTATATTTTTAGTTTTTATAACTTTTATTTTAAGTTGTAATTAGTGGGCATACGAAAACTAAATACAGGTTCACATTTAAATGGGAAAACTAAATACGAAAATTAGAATCCGAAAATTAAATAAATGGGAAAAACATAGCAATAGCAATATTAGGTCACATAGAAAAGGCAACTAGATTGTTCCACTGCTGCACCCGGTCATGATATAACGCATCCCAGCCCTCTACGCTTGCTGTACGAATGGTGTACCACGTTGGTATAATCGGTGGGACCGGAAAATCGGGTGACAGGTCCAGTCGGATGAAATGTCTGTATGACGGCCCCAGAAATCCAATAGCAACCTCTCTTACCGGTCTGGTGACGGTCTCACGCGAACACCAAGGCAGAACCGTGGTACACGGATAGTAAGCTCGACCATGCAAACCAAGGCCGAAATGCATCACTGCACACTTGTAGATGTTTGCAACGGCGAAGAGATCAAGGGGCGCGTCGAACCAATGATTTTGACCGCAACGTCCTCCTCCCCACCGGATACGCTGCAGAGACCTATCCAAGTCCTGTCCGTACACGTGGCGATAAACAGCTCGGTTTGAGGCGATTTCACTGTACATCAACTGACGCACTAAACCGTAGTTGTCTTCACCCATCTGAAACACATCAGCCACAACCCGAAATCCACAGTTACCATCTGCAACCACATCATTCCACCCGTCCAGGAACGGCATCATGATGTTAGGGATCCTGTCTTTATATGGAAAATGTTCAATGTCCATTCTGCCTGTTGCACACATCAAAAAACACAATTAACAAGTTAGCAGAAAACTAAACAAACATCGAACGAAACTGCTCCAACTCCTCCTGTTCACGGTTGACTGTCTGTGGAACAGCATGCTCTCCGATAACGAGCGTCCGCCAGAATGGATGAACCTGATCAACATGTAACGACGCCCTATCTTGCGTAATTACGCGGTGAATGGTGCATGCACAAGGTAGTCCATGAGTCACCGATATAGCACATCCGCACCGAATAGCCACTTCATCACCCAACTCCCTCATCCTGGTGTGCTCGCTCAGAATCAACCCCAAGCAGTAGTGTGACACACGACCATGGAGAATCTTAAATATGAAATGGCTATACATCGTGCCATGTCGCCGTCTGGAGTCCTCGAGAGAGTTCTTGATGCCGTTCCTCTGAGTATCAATAGCCTTGTTTATTCTCTCGAACAGTGTATCCAGAGCAGAGGTGGAAGAATCAATCCAGTCCTTCAGAGCTCTATGAGCGCTCTCAACTCTACATGTAGTAGTGTTTCCAAAATGAAGAACTTGGTTTGTCCAATATTTGACAAACTTTTCCCTCTGAGGCACCCACTGCTGCATCACATAGTCTACGATTGCCGGGCACCATTGGTATGCATCCTTGAAGTTATCCAAGGCTCGGTCGTACTCTGCCTCCGTGGTAGCTTGCAGGATCTTCCGCCACTTACCATTTACCAATCTCTCTGCTGAATCTAAGTTCTTGTTGAAAAGGTTGTAGGCTTTGACTTTCACGCATTTGTTGATGTGCCATGTGCACAGTAAATGGCTCGACTCCGGAAACAGCTCCGCTATAGGGGCAAAGAGACCTCCCTCACAATCGCTGACGATGGCCGATGGCTGAACACTTGGGCCGATGTAATTTCTCAACTTCTCCAACACCCAACGGTAACTCGCAACCGTCTCATCCTTCATAACTGCATAACCAAACAAAACTTTAGATTAAATAAATAAAAATAAACCAAAAAAATAAAAACAAAAAAAAAACATAAAACGAAAAAAATTGTAAAAAAAATAATAAAAAATAAATAAATTAAAAACAAAAACAAATTAAAACAATTAAAAACAAAACAAAAAAAAAACCAAAAAAAAAAGAAAAAAATTGTAACACAAAAAAAAAAAAAAAAACAAATTTTAAATTAAATTAAAAAAAAAAAAAAAAAAAAAATAGTGGTGGCGCCTAGCCAGGACGCCGCCACCGTGGCGGTGGCGTCTAGCCAGGACGCCGCCACCGTGGCGGTGGCGCCTGGCCAGGACGCCGCCACCGTGGCGGCGGCGTCTTGGCCAAACGCCACGGCCACGGTGGCGGCGTCCTGGCCAGGCGCCAGAGCCACGGTGGCGGCGTCCTGGTTAGGCGCCACCACTACGGTCACGACGTCCCGGCAGGACGCCAGCCGCCAATTCGTGGTTTTAGATGGCTTCGTACCTCCTTTTCCGGCGTCAACGGCGTCTCTCCGGTGCATCTACCCGACGTTGAGGGCTCTTCGGTTTCACTCGGCGATCCAGTCCTGCTCCACATTTTTTATGAGTGAAAAATTTTATTTTCGGTAAAAATTAAAACAAGGGCAATAATGTCAACATTTTTAAAAAATGTGGGCTTTATGTAGAAAAACGCGGGCGATGTTTAACAAATCCCGATTTTTACTGTACTTGAAAATTTGAAATTAACTCCTTCATTTTATTATTAATTTGGGATAGAAATAATTAACATTGGATACAAAACTTAGAATTTTGTAAATGTTGTTGGATCAATAGTGTCACTTTACCTTGTTCTTCTGAGTTGCTTTTAGTTCTTGCTAGATTTAGCAAATCGATACTTGTATTATTCTTGGTATGCATATCGTGGGCTGATTTCCTTCACAACAATCTCTTCATATTTTTGACTTGTTTTTTGAATTGTTTAAGTCTAGTTTAACGATTACTATCTTCTATTCTTCTATCTTTGTAACATATTTTCCCATGACTTGTATTGTTATATGTAATTGACTCACTTTGCTCGGTTAGTTGTACATTACATAATTAGTGCCTTAGCCTTGTACTTATATTGTGTGATAGTTTTTTATGAACTAGGGTGGCTAACGAACGCGATGCTTGCGCCATAGCTAGCAAGCTAGCAATATTCGAAAATCTTTTTCGGTTTGGCCCTACATCACAAATTTTGTTGCTAGTGGCATTAATGAGGGAAAATATGTAAACAAATATTGTTGAGGGTATCAATGTCTGCACACTATTCTTAAGAGCTAAAAAAACAGAGCTAATTAACATTAATGGGAGTAATTAAGTAAATAAACATTTTAGAGGGTATAATTGTCCAAGCAACACTATTCATAAGATTATCTCATACTTTTTAAAAGGTAGGGATATACAACATTATTCATTCTCACATTATTAATTTGTACACCATATAGTATGATCACAATCAAATCTGTTAAAAGTTTAAGGTTCTGCTGTACATTAAGTATGATTTCTCACCTGTTCATCTGGGTATAACATTATAACTGACCAAATTGAGGACACAAAATTCAACAGTTATGAAATCTTGCCGTTGATTGCAATTCTATAGGAACCAACGAAACTAAAGGTAAACTTTATATAGAGTAGCAATAAGATTTTGAAAACCTTTGAAGGTTAATCTAATATGGAGTAGCAATTCAGTTTTAGAAAACCTTTTAAGGGTTAATCTAATATAGAGTAGCAATTCAGTTTTAAAAATCCTTTATAACCGCAAGAGCCCAGCCCAGGAGGAATGCATAGTTTCCAGCATTGAGAAGATGTTCTAGTCTGGAACACTTAGTCGATTATTGATGAGGATCATGAGAGACATTGATCTTGTTTAGTGCTAGATTAGGCCATCCTCTTTCACAATGACCTTAACTTTTGACTCGGGAGGCTTTTTTGAGCTAGTAGTGTATTTCTAACAATTTATTATAGGCGACATTCTGACTTTTTGCTTGTAATCCTTGTATAAAGTGCTATTTTTCACATCTTATGTATTGATGATTTGGAATTTTCCTGCTTTAATGCAATGTACAAATGCTATTACTTGGTAATTTATTCAACTCTATTTGTTCATGTTAGTATGGAGTTGCTTACAAGGTTTCCCAAAAGGAGGATATTGAAACTGCAATCTCGGTAATCTTTTACAAGCTAATGCAACCACCATATTTCCTCTTTCCCTAGAGTTCATGATCGATGCCACCATTTTAACAGAATCCCTTCTTTGGTGTAATGGCACGCAGTATTTGGAGGTGAGAGAGAAACAATATGACCAAAAGGTTTATTTGGATTTTTATACGGTTAGTAGTGAAATGCTGAATGCTAAATTTATCTCTGTTAATCCATAGTGATCTCTACAAGTCTATTACTCTGCATCTCATGCACCATTGGTTGATGTACTGTTTTGAAATTACATGTTTAGGAATCAACCAGTTCAACACCAGCTGTGAGCAATGTGTTGGTGTAAGTGGCCAAATTGACACGCTTCTTGATCACATTGAGTCTTTGTTGTTAAGTGTGTTAGATGGAACTCTGTTTCAATTAGACTGTTTGACTGATGTTGTGATATTTGTAAAAATTTCAGATATGTAGCCTCTTCGGATAAAAAGACGAATCAAAACTACTTGGGTCCTGCACCATTAGAGGAGTTAGCCAAGTATGTTTAAATCTCTCCATGTTTTTTTCCCTCTCGCTCTTGCAAATGTCGCAATTTTTATGTTCATTTTTTTAATTTCTTTTTTCTGGCAATTGTTCCTGTGGCAACTTGCGTTGAGGATGGCGATCAATGTTTTAGGCAATGGGATGGAAAAGAATGCTAAAAACTTTGAATATTCGTTTCTTTGAACACACTGAATTTATCTAACATCTTCAAAGATGTTTTCCATAGTTGTTTTTCTCCCCTATGCAATGATGCAATGTTTGTAGCCTCTATATATCATACTTAGACTTTGTTTTTCATAAGTTCCAAACAATTAACTTTGTACAATCATTCTTGCCCCTCTGAAATTTATGTCAAAATCTGATGTTTCCCCCATTGTCTCTACTCTCTAACCTAAACAAAACATGGATAGTAAGCTGTAGTTGACTCGCTTTACAGTGGATGCTTGCTTATTGAAATTTCCTGTAATACAGGCAAATTGTGCATGCAGAAGGCCCCTCTGGGCCAAACAGAGACTATCTGTTTCAGCTTGAGAAAGCACTAATTGAACTCGGTATGCTTACTCTGGACTTCTGTATTTGACATTTACTATGCTGATGTTCTATCTTGTTTTGCCTGTTATAACTTTAAATATATTTCCTTTCTCTTTTTGTTGCCAATCGGCTAGGATGCAAGGATGCACATGTAATGGATCTTGCTAGGGAAGTGAGATGCATTCTCTCAAAGGAGGTGAGGTGAAGAGCTCTGAGGATGGCGATCTTTGTGAATTAAAATGAAAACATTGCTGCCTTGATTACCTTCTGGCAAGCCCCTCAAAACTAAATGTTATTGCTTCAAATATTTGAAACATTATTCTCCCCAGGCCTTCGCCTAGGAAGCCATTAAGATACGATCGTTGTTAAAAACACCTCTTTGTTCCAAATATTTACAATTAGGGATTGGAGCTTTTTTTTTTAGTCAGCAACTAGGTTAGTTCCTGTGCTATGCACGGTAATTTTAAGACTTTTATTGGTGTAACAATATAATTATAATTATCGTTAGTGCTTGTAACATAATAATTCGTATTTAATTTCAAAAATTAAATTGTCAAAAAGTATTCTAAACCACATGAAACATTTAACTATGATATATTTATTTTCTTATTATTTCTAATATTTACTAAAATAAAATACGAAAAATCAAACAAAGTACAAAGAGCTTATTAACAAAATGAGTTTTGTAAAAATACTCTTTTGACTATTAGTGTTTTAAAATTCACAACAAACTCTGTACTATTTTTCTTTTTGACAAACAATTAATAATTATATATATATATATGTATATAGCTAGCCTTCCATCTACAATATCTCTATATACATCTTTTTTTTTCTTCTTCCATATAAAATTGACCACTTTTAAAATGTGAAAATATAATTGAAAAAAAGGTCATATTATCGCATAGATAATATCACAATAAGATTTCCCGTGGTAATAATTTGGGCATGTGGTGTAACATAAAACCCGTGGTGTATTGATGCAAAAATATTATATAAAAAGAATACTTTTTAACCTATATAATTCCTATTTTAAATACTTAAAAAGTTATGATATATGTTTAAAATTACCTACGTACTTAGTATTTTTTATTTTATCCAAAAAAAAAGTATATATAAATCTGACAGGTTTGTTAATTTAATCTTTAAATAAAAAATTGTATTGTATGCTTAATAAAATAAAACATCGGTTGCATCATAAATTCATAATGTTACAATATGTAGTTATTAGATAAAGATAGGAAACCAAAATTATACATATAATTAAAGATACTTAACATATCAAATAATGAAATAATTAATATTTGAGTATAATATATAAGGAAGAAACATAATGATTATTTTGGAAGGAAAAAGTACTATGTTTGTAAGAAAGGAATGAAAATATTATACTTTGTATTACTGTAGACACCCATTTGTGTCTCCCTAAAACCAAACCCAGTGATGAGTACCTTTCACGTCGAATCATAATCGAATGAAACGAAAGTGTGAAAGGTCTAGTGTTGCGGAAAGTTTTTTTCTTTTCTCTGTCTCTGTTTTTGAAAACTTTATTTTAAGAAAACAACCAATCCAGTTTGGTTGGTCCATGATATGGGTCCAATAGTAGTGTAGTTGGACGGGGCTTGCAAAGATTTTTCCAACGATATATTATAAGCCCAATTCCGATGAATATTGAGGAAGTTATGGCCAATTTACTAAACTGGGCCCGGTTTGAGCTTTATGTACGGCCCAATGATCAAGGGAGTGCCTAATATGATTTATCATTCCTAATGCAATTAGGAATGGTTTTGGTCTTCTAGAATCTTCTAGAAGGTTCTTTTCATTCCTAATTCAATTAGCATTGATAAGTTGACTTTGTTGACTTTTCAGAGTTTTAATCAAAAATCAAATAACATTTTCGAAGAAATTATATTATTTTATCTTCCAGTACGGTAAACTTATCGGATTTTCGAAAACGCGTTAGAATCAAGACTGGCGTCCAACCCCAGGCCTTGGCGCCTGGAACCAGGATTGGCGCCAGGCGCTAGCCACTGGTGCCTGGCGCCAGCTAGCCAGGGTTGGCGCCAACCTTGTTTCTTGAGCGTCAGACTCTGTTTTGTTAAATTATCTTTTTTGGCTGATTTTCTCTATAAATATCGTATCAAAAACTCCGTTTTCGATCATCATCTACATCTATCATTCACCAATTCTCCTCAATCATTAATTCTTTAGCATTCTTTAATTCATTCAATTCTTTCTTACTTTATCATACAAAATTCCGCATTCACAAGATCTAGAAACACCTAGACATATTCGAAGTTGCCTTCGTCCTAGACGTGAAAGGTTTTACTTTCTGAGGGTTTGGTCCCAAATCTCTCTTTCAATTATTTAATTTAATTGCTTTAATTATTATTTTCCTTGAAGTTACTAACGTGTGTATTTTGTTATTAGAAAGAGGTACGAGGCATCAAAGTAAGTACTTTAATTGATTAATTGATATTATGATGTAAAAATCATGTTTACATTGTTATTATGATATTCCTAGTATCATGTCTAGAGTAATTTTAATATTAAATATGATTGTTGCGATGCTTCCTATATTTTTCCTAATATTTATTCATGTTAGTATCATGTTAGGGTTAAAAATTTGATTTTTACTGCTTAGTGACATTCTAGGGTTTGTTATTAATCTTGTTAGTATCATGCCTAGGATCTTGCTTTTATTATGCTTTAATATTAACATGAACATGATTATGATTATAATTGTTATAATTTATGATTATTATTATTATTATTATATTATTATTTTGATAACGATTATAATTATTGTTATGGTTATTTATTATGTTGCTTGATACGTTATTGTTATTGCTTGATCACCTTTTATGCATGTTAAAGGGAATTTTGGTACTTGTAATGGCGCTTAATAAGATAATTAATAATCTTGTTAGGGTTAATTGTGATTATAATTCAAGTGATCGCCAATAATAGTTTGCTTGTGCATTAAATTCAACCAACATGATGATTGCATGTTAATTAAAAAGCGCACATGAATACGATCAGAATAAAGTAGAGGCCTATTATTAGGGCAGGTTCAATCTCTTTTAGGTTGGATTTGTACCTTCATCCCCGAACCCTTATTTGGTTCTAGACCTTATGGAGTTGACGATCTCTTGGATCGTTAAGGGGTGTAACCTTCACCTCGTGAACGGTTTACAAGTTCCTAAAAACTTGTTGGCGACTCTTTTGCTCTATATTCTTCCCTTTTGAACGCCACCGTACTGTAGTGTATGATCACAGTGGGGTTCAAGCTAGTGGGATTTTAAAAGCTTGAAATTATTCCCTACAATTACGTATATTAAATCTTTACTAAGAAGATTTTTTGACAAAAAACCAAAAAGCAAAAAAAATAAATTAAAAAAAAAAAGTTTTGGCGGAAAATTTTTTAACCAAAAGTTGACGCGTGTCATCTTTGGTTTCGCCTTTAGTATATAGTAATAGATAGCATGACCTAAGTATAGCACACTAGACTATCTTGAAAGTTGGGCAACATTTAGAATATTTGTACCTATAAACTACATGGATATTGTGTTGCTGGATATCATAATGTCGAAACTGTGGTTTGCTATTACATCTGCAGAGTAAACTAGAGTTAAGGCATCTATACTAGCCTGTGTGACTGATAAATTTGATGTAGAAATCTCAAAGCTGAAGCATATCTTAACCTGGCAGATTACCCTATTTGTAGACACCCAAAATGTCTCCCCAAAACTAAACCCGTTGATGAACACCTTTCACACCATTATTGGTCGGGTTGAGTATTTAATCTTTGGAGTGCTTAAATCCATGTTTTATCCAATAAATTTTATGAACCAATTCAATTTCTAGCTGATTTCCCTAAACCATAAACTATTTTCTACTTTTCGTATCCACATCACAAAACCGAGCTGAACTGATTTGATGGCTATATAATTTTGACCCAATTATTATTTGGTTGGATAGGCCTTGAAATAAGATTTCAACCATATATCATAATCCCAATTCCGAGCTATAACAAAAAAGATATGAGCAAAACACTAAACTCGGCCCAAAACTGACACCCTTCTAAAACGACCATATCTTAAAATCTATAAATCATTTTGACCTGATTCTAATTGGGTTGGAAAAAATACTTGATAAACTTTCCAATGATATATTATATGCCTTTTTCCGAGATAGAGATCAAAAGTTATTGCCATTTTTTAAAACGGGTAAAAAACTGGAATTACCGCGCACAGTGCAAAAGCACCGTGTCACGACGCTTGATGACGTGGCACGTTGCCTGGTGCCGTGACACGGTGCTTTACATCGTGTTACGGTGCTATTTCCACCGTGACACGGTACCTGTTGCCGTGACACGGTATTTCTCACCGTGTCATAGTGCTTTTTCCGTGTAATTTCCGCGTTTCCTTATACCGTTACACGGTGTACTGTGCCGTGTCATGGGATTTTCTCGTGTCTTTTCCGCGTAAATCCTTCACGCGCTTTCACTTCTAGCAGGTCAAATATGTCCCGCGTCACTCCAATTTTCCCCGCGTCACGGGATTTTTCCCCATCTGACGGTGCCTGACACCGTGTCATGACGTTCTCTGCCGTGTCACGATGTTAAATTTTAGGGTTTTTTTTTAATCTTTTTAGGGTTCCGTGTGTTTCCTCTACTCATTTTCCCTATAAATGCCCCCCTCCTTTCTGCAGTTCAGGGCATCAAATCCTTCTCTCTTTCTCTCTTTTACACCAAAAATCATTCTCTTCTCTTTCTCTCATATTCTAAGCCTCAAACCTATATTCCTAATTACATCATTCTTCCTCTAAGCACTCCAAGGAGTCCGTACAACACCCGAGGTCCCGTCCTTAAACCAAGGCGTGAAAGATACCAATAACTGAGGGTTTGGACCAAATCAAATGTACATTTATTTAATTAAATTTCCATTTGACTTATATTTTTTTTATTGAAGTTACTAACAATTTATTCATGATGTAGCAATTTAAAGGAACGCGCGGAATGTGAGTAATTAATTAATTTAATTACTCTTATTTTATTTTCTTATTGCTAGTATCATGATTAGGTTATTTTATATTTGATTTGACTAACACTATTATTGTTAAATTGCTTCCAATATTGATGTTTATTTTATTATATTTATTGATCACCATATTGCATGTTAAAAGGAATATGTAATTGAAAATCACGCTTAATAAGATAATTTGGACAACCGGCTTAGGTTCCTTTTTAATCTTGTTGTTAAATCAAGTGATCACTAATATTTTAGAATTATGTGCTGCATTAATATTCAACCAATTTAGCTTAATAATAGATTGGAGCAAATTGAATTTTTGTTTGTATGCCTTTGAGATCGCAGAAATCATTTTTCACTATAAGAATCGAGTAGAGGCCAATACGGGCGAATGTAACTCCATGACTCACTTCGTACCATCATCCCCGATCCTCCTTTCGTGGTTCCGAACCATATAGAGTTAATAATCTCATGGATTATGAATGGGGTGTAACCTTCACGGGTCAATCGTTGTTGCG